GTTGTGTATAAACAGACACGGACACAGCTCTTCCCATACACCAAGTATTATCGGACAGGAGTGCTCACTGAAGGCATCATGGTGTAAAGATTACTGTGCTTTTGGAAAGAGATTTACTAGATTTGGATCTTGAGGACTCAAGAGATTATGTCCTGACCTGATCTCTGTCCTTCATCCCTGTGTCTCATCAAATTACTTTCCATTTGAACATGGGTAGAATCATCTGAGGTCTTGTAAAAACAGCCCTGTTTTGTATTCAGACACATAAATGGAGCTTTGATCTTTCTGATTAAGGATTACAGAGAGCATTTTGTTTTATTATCATGTCTTTAATTTCTCTCACATAGACTTACTCATTTTTATATTCATTCATTCCTTCTCAGCAAACGTGTACTCAGTAATTATTTATTGAGCACCTTCTCTATAACAGGCCCTGTGCTGGATTCTGGGCATAGTTCTCACCCTCAAGAGGTTTATGGCAAAGGAGAAAAACAAGGAAACACATAATTATAATGCCACGGACAGGTAAGTTCAGGGAGCATTTCCATTGCGATTGTGGTTTCTGGAGGATGGTTGTAGCTTGCTTCAGAGATCCCCTTCAATAAAAACTAAACACATATTCATTCTCTAAGGTTCAAACCAAGTTTTCTCTTAAAAATGGAAGCATGACTATGACTCGAAGCCTCAGTACTGTACAACAGAGTGTGAAGGGAAGCTTTTTCCTCTGTATAATTGGTTTTCCCAGGTGTGCTTCTTGAAGAAAAGAAAGTCCAAGTGCTCAGGACTTTATACCTGTTCCACTGTGGCTTGGTTTGAGTGGTTTAGTTTGTTAACCTTGTAATGGCCAAGAATACTTGACTTAAGGCTCAATAATTGTAGTTGCAAATATGGATTGTCCTCAATTTTTAAGATAAAAACAACTTGTAAATGTATCTGTTTGTAAAAATTGTATATAGTTTTACAGCAAGTCTATTTCTTTGAAATGTAAAGAGACAGTCAAATTTCATTAGGGTGTTTTTATTACAATGGCTTTGTAGTATAGTTTGATATTTAGTATTGTGATCCCTCCAACTTTGTTCTTTCTCAAGATTGCTGTGGCTATTTTGGATCTTTTTTAGTTCCATAGACATTTTTGGAATATTTATTCTATATCTGTGAGATATACTGTTGGTATTTAATAGGAATTGGATTGAATCTGTAGATTGCTTTGAGAAGTATGGACATTTTAATAATGTTAATTCTTCCAATCCATGAACATGGTATATGCTTCCATTTGTTTGTATCTTCCTCTATTTCCTTTTTCTTAGTATAGGTCTTTTACCTCCTTGGTGAAGTTTATTCCTAGGTATCTTATTATTATTTGCAGTGGTAAATGGGATTTTTTTTTAGTTTCTCTTTCTGAGATTTCATATTGGTATATAAAAATGCCATTGATTTTTGGATGTTAATTTTGTATCCTGCTACTTTGCCAAATTTATTTATTAAAGCTAGCACTTTTGGGGTGGATTCTAAGGTTTTCTATGTAAAATGCCATGTCATCTGCAAGTAATGACAGTTTGACTTCTTCCTTTTCAATTTGGATGCCTTTTGTTTCTTCTTCTTGTCTGATCACTGTGGCTAGGATTTCCAGTACTATGTTGAATAAGAGTGGTGAAAGCAGACATTTCTGTCTTGTTCCTGATCTTAATGGAAACACTTTTAGTTTTTTCCCACTGAGTATGATGTTCTTTGTAAGTTTGTCATATATGGCCTTTATTATGTTGAGGTATGACCTGTCTATTCCCACTTTTGCTGAGAATTTTTATCATAAATGGGAGCTGGATTTTGTCAAAACAACCTGCATCTATTAATATAATTGTGTGATTTTTATTCTTCATTTTTTTATATGATGTATCATGTTTATTGATTTGCGAATATTGAACTAACCTTGCATCCCCAGAATAAATCCCACTTGGTCATAGTTTATGATCATTTTAATGTATTGCTGGATCTGATTGGCTCTTATTTTGTTGAGGATTTTAGCATCTATGTTCATCAGGTATATTGGCCTGTAATTTTCTTTTTTTTCAGGGATTTTATCTGGTTTTGGAATTAGGATAATGCTAGACTCATAAAAAGAGAACTATCCATGTGAGAGAAACATTGATCGCCTGCCTCCTGCATGCTTCCCACTGGGGATTGAGCCTGTAACCCAGGCATGTGCCCTGACTGGAAATCAAACCAGTGAGCTCTTGGTGCATGGGCTATGCTCAACCAACTGAGCCACACCAGCCAGGGCAGTGTCCTGTTTCTTGATGCCTGCATGACATCTTCATTTAGATAGCTAAGAAGCATCTCAAAACTGAGTACGAAACAAGACTTAATCCCCTTCACCCATTCCTGTCTTCATCTTTACTAAGATTAATCAATCTATTCAATTGTCAAGTAAAGAGCTTAGGGATCATCCTTGAAACTCCCTTTCCCTTTCAGCCCCTGCCATCAACAGATCCTATTAACTGCATCTCCAAAGCATATGCTCAATTTGTCCTTCGTTCTCATCCTCTCCACTCTACCCATATCTATCATTATATCTCAGCTGGACTCCTTCGATAGCCTTTCAGCCAGTCACCCTGCTTCCACTCTTACTCTGCCCTCACACCCACCACCGCAGCTCATCTCCTCTTCACCTGCCCATCTTGGAAGGAGGCAGAAGGGTGTGATTTGTGGGCCTGTTAAACTGCAGAATAAAAGATTGATTTAACTTTGTAAAAACAAAAGAAGTTGTGAGGTACAAGACATCTTAGATGAAGTTAAAGACAAATGAAAGGCTTAGGTGATAGCAATGCATATAGTTACTATCCACAATATCCACAGAACTCCTACTTATAAATAAGAAAAATAACCTGATTTAAAAATAAGCAATGACATAAGAAATTCACATGTGAACTAATGTCTGAAAAGATGCTCAGCTCTGCCAATAATAGAAAAATGCCAATCAAAGAGTAGATACTTGTTTTTGCTATTCAGATGATCAAAAATTAAGATGGCCCTGGCTGGTATCTGTCAGTGGTTAGAACATTGGTCCATGCACTGAAGGGTCACAGGTTCGATTCTTGGTTCAGGGCACATTTCAGGTTCAATCTCTGACCCCTGGTCCTGGCATGTGTAGGAGGAAACCAATTGATGTGTCTCTCTCACATTAATGTTTCTCTCTCTCTCTCTCTCTCTCTCTCTCTCTCTCTCTCTCCCCCTTTCTCCCTCCCTCCCTCTCTCCTTTTCCTCTCTTTCACTGTCTCTAAAAAAGTCAATGGGAAAATTATCCTCAGGTGAGGATTAACAACAACAACAACAAAATTAAGATGAATACTATCCACTGTTGGTTAAGATGAGGATGATGTTTTGTATTCTTGAGAGTAGGAATACAAGTTTGGTATATTTTATTTGGAAGACATTCGGGCAGTATTCCACATCTGGGAATTAGTTCTCCAGAAATGCTAGACCGGATGCATACATGCACACATATTGGAACATAGTTCTGTCATCCCATTGTCATTAATTTAACAAATATTTATTGAGAAACTACCATGTGCCAGGCACTGGGATAGCCAATGGAGATTTTACAGAGAAAAAGTTTCCTTGCCTGTAAAATAAGGATAGTATTTACCTTATTAGACTTGTTGTTCAGATGAAAGAAAATATGCATGTGAAAGCCGTAAGTGTCCGGAATTTTAAAGTACATCTAGCCCTGACTGGGTAGCTCAGTTGGTTAGAGTGTCATCCCAATATGCCAAGATTTTGGGTTCAATCCCTAGTCAGGACACATACAACAATCAACCAATGAATGCATAAATAAGTGGAATAACGAATTGATGTTTTTCTCTCTAAAATCAATAAATAAAAAATAAAGTACATCATACTCAGCAATGAAAAGCAACAAATTACTGATACATGCAACAAAATGGATGAAGTTCAAGAGCATTATGTTAAGTGTTTGAGCCAAAAACCTATACATACCGTATAATTCCATTATGTGACAGCCTGGAAAAGACCACACTAGAGGGACATAAATGGCATCAGTGGTTTCTAGGGGCTATATTTGGGGAGAAGATTGGGATGGGGAACTGTTTTGAGGGGATGGAAATGTTCTGTGTTCTGATTGGTGGTTACACAACTGTATACTAGTATGTTGGTCAAAACTCACAGAACTGTATGTACATCTCAGAAGGGCGAATTTTACTGTAAGTTATACCTCAACAGATTGACGTTTAAGAAATTGAAAAAAAAATGTCCTACAGTATAATGTGTTGTATATATTGCCCTTTGTGGCAGAATCTAATGGACTGAGCACTCAATCAGTAAATAACCAGTCCAAATGTTTGGTTTCTGGGCCGTTTTGTTCATATAGCATGTAACATGATTTTCTGCTAATATAGCATGCTCATCTGCTTGCAGCTTTAAAATGTCTCTAATGGGAAGGATACGGAGCACTTCCCTTCTATAAAGTTCAAGGATTGCTCTGCTTCAAGGAACAAGGGAAGCCACCAAAAGAATGATGATGAGGCAGGTCTGGACTCTCAAATAACCTAGAAGCACAGAAGAAAAAGAGGGTGGGGTGTTCCTGCTTTAGTCGCCAACTGGAGAAGCAGTACAAGCCTATAGGAGTCATCATGCTGTTATCAGATGTTATCTTGGTTTGGAGGGAATTTCCAACTCTAGATATTAGTCAGATTTCTGTATTTCAGGATGGCCTAACAGCTTAATAAAAACGCCAGTCAGAAACACCTAAAGGCTAAGTAAGGCTTGCAAGTCTCAGACACAGGCTGGCGCAGACGGTCAGGACTCTGCCCACGCTCCCCCCCCCCCCCCGCCCGCCCCGCCCAACTCCTCTTCCCCACCAGCAGGCGAGCTCCCTTCTTCTCATTGGCCACTGCCCAGCTGTCTCGAGCGCCCACAGGCCCGCTCAGACGCCAGCTTCTATAAAAAGCGGGCAGTGCAGCCCCAGGGCCGACAGTTTACCTCTAGCAGCGCTACAGTGGAGCAGGTTGGCTCCATCCTATCGGGACCAGGGATACCTTCCTGGATTTGGGAGCGCTGGGCCGGCGTGAGTCAGAGGTAAGATTGCCCAAGAATACTTACATTTTATAAAAAACCTTTCCATGTGCTTGCTGCTATGAGAAATATACCAAGGGTAAGAAAAAGTCTTAGCCAGAGTTGTTTAAAGCGTCATTTTAATTACATTTTTTTGAAGCCTGGGAAGTTTGGGATTTACTAGAGTTAATATTAATTGAGTACTTAGTGTAGGTCAGCAACTGTTCTAAGGGTTTTATATATGATCCTTTTATTGCCTTGAGATTGGTGCTAATTATCCTTTCAATTTTGCAAATAAGGAAATTCATCCACGTTGAAATTATAGCTTGCCTAGATGGTGTTGTAGATAGATTTATTACTAGCAATCTGCTCTATTATTTTACATCCCTTTTATTGTTTGCATGCTATAGGACAGTCACCCATACTCCGTGTGGAAAAAAAAAGTCCATGATCTTTGAGTGATCGTTAAACAAGAAATGTTTCCAAAGCTTCTCACATTTCTAAAAACAGCCTGAGACTGCATATCTGAGACCACCCCTCAACTGTTAGCCTCAGAGAACCAAATCAGAATTTCCTATGTATAATTAAGTTTATGTTAAGAAATGGTTGAGTCCGTTGAAGCTGAAAATTTCTATTTGGATCTCTTGCGTCTCATCCATAAATCCTTTCTGATCAGAGACTTGTGATGGGCCAGAGCTATCTCCAATCATCTTTAGAATCTCATGGGACATCGGTCAAGGGTGGGGTAAAGGGGGATAAGGTGTGCTCTGCAGATATCTAGTGTGTCCTATTTTCTTCTTACTATTTGTACTTATTAGAAAGTCTGTGTCTCCTCTTCCACCTCCCTCATACATAAGTCCGTGAATTCCTTGGAGGCAAATTGTCTTCTTTGTTTTTCATCTTTACCACCATACACTGACTGTGGTACTTTATACATGTGAATGAATTGACATTTCATTTATTTTACCATTAGTAATCATTTGAGTCATAGAAAAACCCACATTATTATTATTATTAAGTTTAACTGGTCATTTTGTTTTTAAGCATTGACACAGAGATTGTTTTAGTTGTAGAGATAAATTGACTGATATATTAGAAAGTTTAGGACCAGACCATACTGATAAACGTCAGACCAGTGATTAGATAAGTCTGATTTCATGTTCCAGATATTTCCTTACACTGTTTTGTGGTGTGAATAGGTGGTTGAGAAGATGCCAAAGTAGATATCTAGTCCATCTTCTGAGAAAACAGGTTTTAGCTGGATGCCATGAATTTTGTCCTACTTTCTGTGTTTCTGAACATATTTAGGGCAGTCCCTGTGAAATCAGATCCATATGTTGGCATTCACATGTTCAAGGACACAGTTTTAAATATGTGTTCTTGTATTTGCTAGCTCAGTGTCAACAGGTTAATTTCTCTAAGCTTCAGTTTTTTCATTTATAAAATTGGTATGATTCCTATCCCTCCCATTATGATTTTATGAGAATTAGATGGGATAATATTAATACATGATATGTATAGACATTTGACAAATGTCAGTTCCCTCACCCACCTCTGGGATTGCTAAGAACGGATGGAAGCTGCTATCACAGGAATTTCTTTCTTTCTTATCTCCATACTCTCTGAACTTATATGTAGAAGTCCTTCAACTTAGTATGTGCCTGATAAATATTTGTTAAACTAAGTTCCAAAGGTATCATAAAGACTGAATTCTGGAACAGAAAACTGCATTCCATTGGTACGTTTAGTAGCAGACTATTGTTTATGACCATATGGTTGAAAGCCGTATTTGGTACTTTGTACCCTCTGTCAAGCCAGATGGATCTCTTGGGGCTGCCTTTTATAAGTGGCCCCAAAATCTTATACACTATGGGTTAAGAGAAGAGCTTTATGAAAGAAAGACAAAACTCACAAGATCTGTCTAGTCAGAAAGACAGAAATGCATAAAGTCCTTCATTTGCATCATCCTATAGGAAGATGTTTCAAAGCCAGGACTTTAGCTTAAGAAAACTACCTTGTCCTTACTTTTCTCATTTAGCCTTCAATTACACAGGCCATGGTCCTTTGATGGGTATTTGCATGGGCATAGAAGATCAAGACGAAACTCCCCTGCACTACCTACACAGGGCCTTTTAAAGGGTCTGGCCCACTTACCTTGCCTACATGAGTCCTCACTGCTCTCTATTGGTTGGTCATGTCTCATCTTTATCTACTCCTTCCCCCCTTTTATTTAAGATCTAATTCAAACACATCTTCTTCAATGAAACATCTCTGAACATGTACCAAAATAATCTATTCACTGCCACCACTATGCCATCTGTGTTCCCGGTTGCAATGCTTATCTTTCTGCACTGTCACCCTCTCTCTACCAGACTTTCAGTTCCCTGAGGTAGAGACCATGTCTTTAAGAAATCTTTTTCCTTTTATTCACTTAATGACATCTATGCAGTGCCTATTATGTGCAGGGACTGTGCTAGATGTTGGAGATACCATGGTGAGTATCAGCGTTTGTGATCTCTGCCCCCATGGAGCTCACAGTCTAGTTGGATAGGCACACAGAAACAAATGCTCACTGAAACAGAGCTACCACTGCACCAGTGACTTGTTACGAATGGGAGGTATATGGTGCATTGCCAACCAACACTAACTGGAATTGACTTGGGGAAGTCAGGAAAGGCTTCCAGGAGTAAGTGAAGTTTGAGCTGGGCAATTAGAACACTGTATCTGGCTTCAAGCCCACAACATCACCACTACACCTGTACTGAGTGCTCATGCCACAGGCTTGTGTCAATGAGTGATGTGAAAAACAGTGGAATCAGCAATATCAATTTAAGTTGTTAAAGGTTAATTCCACTAAAACTACAATATGAAATTGGGTAGTTAAGAAGAATTAATCATCAAATTTAAACTATTAAGAATAAATCCAAATATGCTGTTTCCATTTATTAATCCAAACCTTATTTTTCAAGTGTGTATTTCTCAATTGAAAGTCACCAATCCAAAGTTATTGTGCCCTACTTCTATCTCCCACAATAGCCTCACCTCTCCCAATACACACACACACACACACACACACACACACACACACACACACAGTTGAATTTATAATCATATAGCTCTTGAAGGCCGATATTGATTGAAAAGGCGTTAAGGGCCCATGGCCTAGGGGATTCCATAGGCTGAGAGGAAAGGAGATGCTAATATGGAATCAGAATTCTCTCAGCTAGCAGTTATCCTTCTAGTCTACGTGTGTCTACAGCTTCGGAGGCTCATAAATTTACAAAGAAAAGAAGGCCTTGTCCTTGTTCTGAAGGAGCTTGCTGCCTTATTAGAAGACAAGGCATGTATGAATAAAACATTTGGGGAAGCCATACAAGACCCAGTATAATAAAGTGCTAAAACTGTGGGGTTGGAGCCGGGGGAGAGGAGGTAGACTTTCATAGGGGAAGAGCTCCCAGTTCAGGCTACAAGTCAGGAAGAGGGCAAGAAGCCGATGGGCTGAGTCATGCCCCAAAAGAAGGATTGAATTAGGGAAGAAAAAAAAAAAAGAAAGAAAGAAAAAAAAAGAAAACCACTAAGGTGTATTATATACCTATAACATTCTAGGGATTATGTCTGACAATGTTTTTTCTTATTTTGGCCTCATTGTAGTGTTACAAAATATATAAGCATATCCATGTTTTACAGGTGAGGAAACTAAAGCTTGGTTAACATTATCAAATATTGTCGCTGTTTCAAAAGTTATCAAATATTGTCTACATTGCACTTTTTAAAGACCTTTTCCTGTATTTTCATACTTTATTTTTAGAGAACTATACCAAATTCATCATGATTGAAGACAATAAGGAAAACAAAGACCATTCTTTAGAAAAAGGAAGAGCAACTCTCATTTTTTCCTTAAAGAATGAAATTGGAGGACTTATAAAAGCACTGAAAATCTTCCAGGTAAGCACTCTCCATATCTTACATAAAACTCTCTAAAACGAGTCTCTAAAATTATACTTCAAATGTAGAATATTGTAAATTCTTCAGAGTTGAACTACAGAAATTTCTTAAGCACTTAAATTTCTAAACTATTGCTCAATTCTAACAAATGGGCAAGGGATAAAAACAGTTTACAGAAGAGGAGGTACAAATAGCTAATAAAAAAAAATGGGAGGAGAGCCCTAGCAGGTTTGGCTCAGTAGATAGAGCATCAAACTGCGAACTGAAGGGTCCCGGGCTCAATTCTAGTCAAGGGCACATGCCCGGGTCGTGGGCTTGATCCCCAGTGCGGGGCGTGCAGGAGGCAGCCAATCAATTATTCTCTCTCATCTTTGATGTTTCTATCTTTCCCTCTCCCTTCCTCTTTGAAATAAATAAAAATATATTTTTTTTTAAATGGGGGAAGAAAGATTTACTTCTAGATTTTGGAGAAGCACATTTTAATTTTAAAATATTAAAATTTTAATGATATTATTTAATGGTGTATTAATAATACAGTTAATGACATTTTTATATAGCAAAATAGCAAAGATTTTTACAGTTATACTGTTTCCTATTGTCAAAGCTTGAATGCATTTGGCCCTTAAGTACACCTTTGGTGTGAGGCCAAATCAGTGTAATGTGTAGGGAAACAATTTGGTAATACTGTGAGCCTTGAATATTCACATTTTCTTTTCTATTTATTTATTTGTTTATTTTTGGATTTATTTTTATTGTTAACATTATTACATATGTCTTCATTCCTCTCCTTTCCCCACCTTCACCCAGCCCTAACTCCTTCCCCCCCATAATGTTCACATTTTTTGACCCAGAAATTCCACTTCCATAAATCTATGTTAAGGAAATAGGGGTCAGTGAGGCAGACCATGAATATTTATTAAGTAGTTACTATGTGCCAGGTACCTGAAGGATGTGAGCCTGAATAAAGTAGACCCAGTGCCTGCCCTTACAATATGTATTCTCTTTGGGGTTAAGCTTGTAGGCTCTGGAGGTGGACCACCTGAGTTCAAATTCTTACTTTGTCACTTATTAGCTGAGTGATCATGGGCAAATTCATCCTCCTCTCTGTGCTTCAGTCTTTACATCTATAAAACGAGAACCCTACCTACCTCATAAGATCATCGTGAGAATCAATACAGTTAATATATGTAAATGCTTTGGATGGTTCAAAGTACTTTATCAGTAAACGTTAGCTATTTTAAATATATTTTTATTGATTTCAGAGAGGAAGGGAGAGGGAGAGAGATAGAAACATCAATGATGAGAGAGAATCTTTGATCGGCTGCCTCCTGAATGCCCCCTACTGGGGATCAAGCCTGGATCAAGCATGTGCCCTGACCAGGAATTGAATCATAACCTCCTGGTTCATAGTTTGATGCTCAGCCACTGAGCCATACCGGCCAGGCAAATGTTCAGTATTTTAAAAATGAAGTTTATATTCACATGATGTACTATTATGTAGCCATTTGAAATAATATTTGAAAAAATTAAAAATTTAAGATAGACAAATAGTCTAGAAGAGTTTGAAAAGCATTGTTTAAAACCCGACATATTATAGCCTCAGTCCCACTCCCCAGAGGCAACTTCTTAATTGTTCTTTTAAAAAAATATACTTTTATTGATTTCAGAGAGTAAGGAAGAGAGAGACAGATGCATCAATGATGAGAGAGAATCATTTATTGGCTGCCTCCTGCACCACCACCACCCCAACCCACTGGGGATTGAGCCCACAACCTGGGCATATGCCCTTGACTGGAATAGAATCTGGGACCCTTTAGTCTGTATACTGACGCTCTAGCCACTGAGCCAAACTGGCTAGGGCATTAATTGTTCTTTTCCTTTCTCTTCCTCTCTCTCTAAAAATCAATGGAGAAATATCCCCGGGTGAGGATTTAAAAAAAACCAAGACATAGTTTAGCTTTATATTTATTCAAGTTACCATTCAGAAAGTATTTAAGAATATATTCTTATTGTAAAAATCCATAAGAAATATATTCAATAAAACTCTTTACTCCTAATCATGCCAGTATATTTTGTAACTGGCTTTCTTCTGTTGATTCCATGATCAATTCCATGTTCCAGGATGAACCCTGCCTATTTTAGTTTCCCAACCTCCCTTACACTCACTCTTTCCTTTTGATTCATATTCCCTGGTAACTCTCATTTCATCTCTACCTTTGCTTGTACAGTTCTCCTGTTTGGAATCCTCCTTCTTCCCTTTGCCTTCCTAGTCTATCTGTTCTTTAAGACTCATGTTCGTTTCTATCTGCTCATGGAAACTTCTACTCTCTATAACCCGTGATGCTTTGTCCCTTTGCCGAACATTTCCTGCACCTGAACACTCACCACTTGTATTTTTTCTTAGTCTTTTGTGTGTTAGACAACAAGGTATAAATTCCTTGTGTGTCTTACCCTTCATTTTATGCTTCACAGCCCTTACCTGGCTACATAGGTTGTCACTAAGTTAATTTAGATTGAAGTGGTTGGTATTGCAGATCAACTACTTTAACCTTCTCATATTTTAGATGAAAATCTGTTGGGTGCCTGGTTCTTACGTTTCATTATGTCACCAGTGCTTTCCCTCAGCTACCCAAATTGGTAAGAGAAGACCCCTTCCTCCCACAGGTTTGCACATATGGCACCCTCAGCTCAGAGTGTCATGAAGAGACCAGAAGAAGCAATCTGGTTTAGCTGGTTACTAAGTTTGTAGCTTAAGAGATTTGAGGTATTAAATACTCTGTGTTCAAGCTGTTCATCTAATTTTATTGGATGCAATTTTACAAAGGAAACTTTTCTAAAGGCCTAACATTAGCATCACTGTTTGAAACCGGCCTTATTGGTGAAAATTTTCAAAAGCTTCTTCTTATATAAGAGACTTTGTATTTCCCTTTGAAGGACAATCCATTCTGGCAATCCAATCACTTCTGATGAGTATTATTAATTTCGGGAGGATGTGACGAATTTCTCAAACTTTTTTTGAATAGTACCTAATATTTAGGGGGAATTATTTTGCGACTGCAATCACTAAAAACAGCCTTTTCTCCCTTTGGCTATTGTGGCAAGTATGACTTGGTTTCTAGCGGTAATGAAAGCAACCTGCTCCAAGACTGTCGCCATTTGAGGTCCTACCTAAGCTTCACCCTCTGCTTTCCACAGGAGAAGCGTGTGAACCTGTTGCACATCGAGTCCCGAAAATCCAAGAGAAGAAACTCGGAATTTGAGATTTTTGTTGACTGTGATATCAACAGAGAACAATTGAGTGATATTTTTCATCTATTGAAGTCTAATACTAATGTTCTCTGTTTGAATCCACCTGATAATTTTACCATGAAGGAGGATGGTAAGTTTGAAAAGTGAAAATACTGCTCTGAAGATTAAGTACATAATATGTGTCCTATCTTTTTTATAAATGTGTGATTTTTATTTATTTATTCACTTAAAATGTTTTATTTTTCAATTAAAGTTGACAATCAATATTATTTTGCATTACTTTCAGGTATATAGCATAGTGGTTAGACAATCATATACTTGATAAAGTGTCCTCCCCAATATTTCCAGTACCCACCTGGCATCATACATAGTTGTTACAATACTAGAGGCCTGATGCACAAAATTCATGCAAGAGTAGGCCTTCGCAGCCACGGCTGCCTCGATCCCACGGCTGCAGCCCCGGCTTTGTTGGGAAGGTCGTCTGGAAGGTTGTCCAGAAGGACATCTGGATGGCCATTCAGTCTATTTGCATATTACCCTTTTATTATTATAGATTATTAACTGTATTCCCTATGCTGTACCTTATGTCCTCGTGACTATTTTGTAACTACCATTTTGTACTTCTTAATCCCTTCACTTTTTTCAGTCCGTCTCTGTCCAGTCCTATATTTATCTTGAAGAATGAAAGTAAAAACAAAACACTGTCTCTATATTGCTTATAGTCTGGTAGCGAAGGGAACAAAATAGAATTGCTCAAAATTCTAAATAGAAATGATAAGGCAACACTTTATCAAGTATGAGAGAAGTGAAAAAGGAAACCTTAAGTATATGACAGAATTCGGGATAGTTAGAAATCTATTAAGTTGTCTCAGTTTCCAAATCATCAAGCATTTCTTGAGTTCACAAACCTCCAATTCTGTATTCGTATGGTGGTGTAAATTACTAAAACGCTGAAATACTTTCATTTTGGCTGTCAGGTAGCTGCTTCCCTGAGTCCTTTGAGTGCTTCCCACCTGTTGCTCCAGATGCTCCCCTAGGACTCCCCTGCCTGCCACGGAGACAGGGTGACACCTGGCAGAGCAGGAGCCTAGGCCTCTGCTTGTGTCTCTTTCGAGTGATGTGATTGGTGCCCCTGTTGTATTTATTGTTATAGCTCTTGAATATCACGTCTGGGTATGTTAGAAAGAGCATTCTACTGAAGGAAGAAGGATCCAGTTCTAGTCCTCTCTCCTCTCTCAGGGAGGGATGAGTTCCCTTGGTAACTTACTTTACCTTTCTGGACTTCGATGACCTTTTCTATAAAATTATGAGTTTTATAGAGGCTAACTGGTTCAGGTGATATTAACGGAATACCAATTTGTGTCCAATATTTCTATTAAGAAATGAGGATACAAAAATAGATAGTCCCTACCCTAGAGTGTTCCCATTTTTTCCTGTAAGATAGACATGTTACAGGTACATTATACTAAAACATAAAGCTTCTAGAGAATTAGAAACAGTGTGTCACGGGAACCCAGATGACAGAGAATTAGCTCCACCTCCAGGGTCAGGGACGGCTCCTTTAATTTGGACAGAGGAGGATAGTCTCAGGAGAACAGGAGGATCGGGTGGAGCAGGAAGTGGGAGTGGGTTAGGTGTTTCAGGCAGAAGAACAGCATAAGCAAAACCCAGAAATTCTGGGGGATGGTGAAAATTTCAATGTGGCAAAGGCATAAATGACCTCTAAGATCCTTTTCATCAACAAAAATAAACATTCACATTTCTTATTAAATTTACCCCTTGTTCTGCCTTTTAAAAAATATATATATTTTATTGATTTTTTACAGAGAGGAAGGGAGAGGGATAGAGAGTTAGAAACATTGATGGGAGAGAAACATCAATCAACTGCCTCCTGCACACCTCCTACTGGGGATGTGCCCACAACCAAGGTACATGCCCTTGACTGGAATTGAACCAGGGACCCTCCAGTCCGCAGGCCAATGCTCTATCCACCGAGCCAAACCAGTTAGGGCAAGATTCTGCCTTTTTATGGTGGTCAAATATGTAGCTTAAAAATGTTGTTTGTTGTTGACCTTTTGATCTATCAGCAAAGTATAGCATTTTTTCAACACTTAGGAAATCAAGCCTTATAAATTTTAAGCTAAAATAATTTGAATACTTATTAAAAATAGAGAAGTTTACTTGTACAAATTTTGCCTCAATGTACAAGCAAAAATTAAAAATCTTATCTAAATGTATGACTTTCTTAATTTCTTCTTCCTTAGTGCCTTCAGATGGCCTCTTTAGGTGTTGGTGGTGTTTCTGTTTTGCAGGTATAGAAATGGTTCCTTGGTTTCCAAAGAAGATTTCTGACCTGGACCATTGTGCCAACAGAGTTCTGATGTATGGATCTGAACTGGATGCAGACCATCCTGTAAGTATTTTTAATAAATAAAAAAATTTTCATGGCAATAATTTAAAGCAAACTAAAAATCAAGTGCAACCTTTTCATTTTTAAAGAAAGCGCTTATTCTAGATTAAACAACATCTTGTTTCAATTGGAATTTCAGGGAGTTTAGTAGAGCTCCCTGTTGGTGGAATTGAGACCAACTGCCCGAAGAGCATCCGACTTGTTGGCTCCAAAGCCTCTGTTCAATGCCTGACATTCCCAGTATTAAGAGCTATTCAAAGAGTTATTCCAAAATAAAGACACGAGCTGCAGTCAGTTTTTATTAAAATGGGCATGGTTATTGGAAAGGGGAGCGAAGACAGGATGGAAAAACGTATCACCTACGCTGCCCAGCATAATTGGATTATTAGGCAGTTGACTAATGAGGACATTCTTTCCTTGGGAAATTACAAGGGGGTACAGTATAGGCACGAGTTGGAGAATTAATAAACCAGAGTGTTAGGACTACGTATGGAGCTCTAAGATCCTGGGAGGGGAGGGGAGCAGAGAGTGCAGTTGTGAAGTCTCATAGACCAGGGTTTTAATCTAGCTTCTACACTTGTTAGCTCTGTGAATGTGCCTGCGTACTGCCTTAGCCCCCAGCCAGTCCCTCCATTTATTCTATAGTATCTTATTGAGTAACTATTGGAATTTATAAATGTCATACCTGCCAGGTGGTTTACAGCCCAGTTGAAAAGATAAAGCACACGTACAAATAAACATATATGAGATTGAAATGTGGAAAGTGTGCTAAGTAGCATGAACAAATGTGAAAAGTGTGCTAAATAGCTTTAAGATATACACAAGACAGCAAACATCTCTAGCTAAAGAGATCAGTTGTGTGATTAAGAAAAAAATCTTATCCTTGGGATAAAGCCTGCATTTAATTAAATGGTGCTTTTATTTTTCAAACTATTTTATTTTTTGTAGCCACTATGGTATTTTTGTATCTTTGTATCTATAGTATCTTTTTTTTTCAATCCTCATGGGAGGATGTGATTTATTTTTCATTGATGAGAGAGAGAGAGAGAGAGAGAGAGAGATTGAGATTGAGGGAGGAAGGGAGAGGGAGTGGGGGAAAAAAGGCAGAGGGCAAAAGGGAGGGGGAGAAACATGAATGGGAGAGAGAAACATCCACCCATTGCCTCCTGTATGCACCCAGACTGTGATTGGACCCCCAACCTGGGTATTCACCCTGACCAGGAATGGAACCCGAGACCCTTAGGTGCATGGGTCGACATTCTAACCCCTGAGCCACATCAGCCAGGGCTGTATCTGTAGTATCTTTCACCTTTGTAGCCACTATGGTATAAAGCTGTCATGTAGCATTGACTTTAAAATAAAAATGATCATAAACTTCTAAACAATGCCTGCTCAAAATAATAGTTATGTAACTCTTTAATATAATAGCTCAGATAATAATAAAATGTTTCCCAAATATCATTTGTCAAGTTTATTTTAGTATGAATATTTAAAACCTTTTCTTTAATTATCAGGGCTTCAAAGACCATGTCTACCGTAAAAGGCGGAAGTATTTTGCAGACTTGGCTATGAACTATAAACAGTAAGTGTATTACAAAAATAACTTATCCAACTTTAAAATGATAAAATCAATGAAGAGAGTAAATTAAGCTCATTTAGTAAATAGAGAATAAGTGCTACTGTTTATTGAATGCTAATTCTTTATCTCGCTAGCGGCAACCCCATTCCTAGAGTTGAATTCACTGAGGAGGAGATTAAGACCTGGGGAACTGTGTTCCGAGAGCTCAACAAGCTTTACCCAACCCATGCCTGCAGAGAGTATCTCCAAAACTTACCTTTGCTTTCTAAGTATTGCGGATATCGGGAAGATAATATCCCACAGTTGGAAGATGTTTCAAACTTTTTAAAAGGTAATAAGCTAATTAAATTTTTTCCTAAGGGGAATGTTGAATTCTGTGTGGGTCATGAGAGAATTTTTAAAAAATGATTTTATTGATTTCAAAGAGTGGAAGGGAGAGGGAGGGAGAGTTAGAAACATCAGTGATGAGAGAAAATCATCCATCAGCTGCCTCTTGCACGCCCCCTACTGGGGATCAAGCGCACAATCTCGGGCTTGTGCCCTGACCAGAAATCAAACCGTGACCTCCTGGTTCATGGCCAACGCTCAACCACCGAGCTGCACCAGCCGGGCATGAGAAAATTTTATTTTTTTATTTTTTTTATATATTTTATTGATTTTTTACAGAGAGGAAGGGAGAGAGATAGAGAGTTAGAAACATCGATGAGAGAGAAACATCGACCAGCTGCCTGCTGCACATCTTCTACTGGGGATGTGCCCGCAACCCAGGTACATGCCCTTGACCGGAATCGAACCTGGGACCTTTCAGTCCGCAGGCCGACGCTCTATCCACTGAGCCAAACCGGTTTCGGCGAGAAAATTTTTAATAGAGGAATAATGTCCAGTGATATGGGAGATGAGAACTTTCCAGTACTCTCTCCTGGAGTATTGGATTCTGCATAGGGCACCACATTTGAGGAGGGACAATCAGAACAGTGTCAATGTAGAAGAGGGACAATGTAGAAGAGAGTGAGCAGAATCTTAAGGGGATTGGAAATGGTAGTTCCCCAGGCACACTAGCCACATTTCAAGTGCTCAGTAGTCACATATGGCCAGTGGCTACCCTATTGGGTAGCCTAGATGGAGAACATTTCCATCCTTGTGTTAAGTCCAATGGGACCGTGAAGTCTGCCTGTCAGAGTGGGGGAATCCAAGTACAAAGCAACTGGTTGTAGCTGGAGTACCAGAGTGTGAGGGTTTGAAATGACGGGCAACATCAGAGCTTGTAGAGGTCCCTGAGCCATGGCTGCCTCCTGGCAGGCACTTTTGCAGTGGACATGGAGTCTTGGCTGTTGGGGAATGGGAGACCACAATCCAATACTGATCAAATAAAGAACCTGCTTTATAAGAGGCAGTACTAGCTAAAAAATGGCATAGATTCTAAAAATGATTCTGATCTAAATTAATAGATTCTGTCCAGTGGATATTCTAAACTCTTTAGGGAGCCAACAGGTGTAGAGTAAGGAGACCTGGGTTCTGATCCTACCTTTACCATCCACTGTGTGGCCTTGGGCACATTACTGAGCTGCTGAACCTCAGTTTTATAGTTGTTACAATGAGGAGAATAGACTTTAACTCATGCTGGAAACCTGAAAGAAGGTGATATGTAGCAGGTGTAATTCATTGTCGGGCCATGGTAAGTGCTTAGTAATGATTATTTCCCCTAGTCCACGTAGGATACATTTTAGCTTTCTGTCCTCTCTCAGTGTAACTTGGTGCCACTGGCCGAGTTGCAGTGCGGCAGTATGTGGCCTATGCTGGTGAAGACTGACTCTGTGTTTTCCCGCTTGCTTTGCAGAGTGCACAGGTTTTTCCATCCGTCCTGTGGCTGGTTATTTATCATCAAGGGATTTCTTATCAGGTTTAGCCTTTCGAGTTTTCCACTGCACACAGTATGTGAGACACAGTTCAGATCCCCTGTATACCCCAGAGCCGTAAGTACTTCTCCATCATTCAGTCACCAGATAGCTGCTTGTAATATTGATATCTACCCCATGAGACTGTTGTGAAGATGAAATACATTAGCACATGTGAAATAGTTAGAATGGTTCCTGGCACATATACATGATCTATGCTTTATATATGTTATCCATCGTTGTTGTTGTTTGACAACCTGTTAGGTGACAGGTGCTGTTCTAAGTGTAGAGGATGTACGAATGTCTAAATACTGAAAAAAGTCAGGCAAAAATTCCTGCCTCATAGAGCTTCTATTCGTGTGTGTGTGTGTGTGTGTGTGTGTGTGTGTGTGTGTGTGTGTGTTATTGCTATTTTGAAAAGGGTGGTCAGAGAAGGCCTTCTAGGGAAGGTAACATTTGAGCAGAGACCTGATTTGGGGTAGAGGAGTATGTGGATGTCTGTGGCTAACTGTATGTACTTACATGTGTGGGTTTGCGAGTGGCCAAGGTTTTGAAGCAAAACTGTTTCTTTATTTGGTTAGTGTCCTTTTGATCAATTTGAATAAAACTAAGATCTGATTTTAATTTCATTGAATGATTGATGAATGCATTTATGTTAAGCATCACAGTTTGACAAACTTGTACCTCCTTTTCAGCGATACCTGCCATGAACTTTTAGGTCATGTCCCCCTCTTGGCTGAACCTAGTTTTGCACAATTCTCCCAAGAAATTGGCCTGGCATCCCTTGGAGCTTCAGAGGAGGCTGTTCAAAAACTGGCAACGGTATAAAACTGGAAATGACTGTAGAGATCAGTAATTCTTGACTGGGGTGGGATGTGGGTATTTGCATAGTTTAAAAGTGCATATTCAACATGACCATCAGAAAATGTGTCTTGGCCCATCTTTAATTTAATTTAAATAATATTAAAGGAGGATGTAAAATTTTAAGGTCAAAGGTCTATCAAAAGACATGAGCTTAAAAAAAGACAGAGAAACATTAGAGCACAATAATGTTAATAGTTTCTATATCTTCTTTTTCCAGTAAAAATGATAGGTTCCAAAAAATGATGCTAAAAACATTTTTGAGTACTAGGTACAAGACATCATGCTGCAAATACAAATAATGAGGAAGGTCTGGTTCCTGCCTTCCTGGAATTTATCACTGCATAACATGTTATTTATGTTACCATAAAATGGTTTATTATATTTTAAAATTAATTAGGAAACATTTACATATTTTCTCAGTTTTAACTTTTAATATGCTAAGTATAGGTAGCTATAACCCATATAAATAACAATTCTTTGGTGTCCTCGGTAATGCTGAAGAGTCTATAGGATCTTAGGAACAAAAGTTTGAGAAGTGTTGGTTTAGAATGAGGCCAGATTGTAGAAATACTTGTAAGCTAGTCTGGGGGTTTTGAACTTTATCCCAGGATACTTTGGAACAGTGACAAAGAGTCGTAATTTGTTTTAAATTTAGTCATTCAGGATGTGAAAGTAATATTTCTGTCCTTTTGCAGTGCTACTTTTTCACTGTGGAGTTTGGTCTGTGTAAACAAGATGGGCAGCTAAGAGTTTTTGGTGCTGGCTTACTGTCTTCTATCAGTGAACTCAAAGTAAGAGTTGTAAATCTTTGCACACACCATATTCACTTAATATCACTTATATGACCTGAAATAGTTCGTGGATTTGAACAAGAGCTTAGTATGGAAATTACTTAGGGTGACAGTAAACATTATTTAAGGGATACTTTGTTCTATTTCCCAAATATTCTGGGGTGTGTGTGTGTGTGTGTGTGTGTGTAACTTTAAAATAAAAAAAAAGTATTTTAAAGCTTTTGCTTACGAAGTCTTGATGTTTCCTCACCATTTTATGTGCTAGCAAGAATTTCTGTAATTTTTAGGGAGTTCTTTGAAATTCGTTATTTAGCAAATAAAGGAATAAATTTAGGCTGTTGAAAAATGAATTTGTATGGCACAAATCCAAGGCAGTGTCTTGCTCTCAAGGAGCCTGCCACCTGGTGGTGGGTACAAGTCATGCATAGGAATAACTAGTGCAGGTAGAAAGTAGGTAACGTAATGCAGAAATAAATAAATATTCTTGGGTGTCTCCCTCATGGAGAAGAGTGTTAGAACAACGGAGATGATGTAGAGCGGCGGTTCTCAACCTGTGGGTTGAGACCCCTTTGGTGGTTGGATGACCCTTCACAGGGGTCGCCTAAGACCATCCTGCATATCAGATATTTACATTACGATTCATAACAGTAGCAACATTACAGTTATGAAGTAGCAACGAAAATAATTTTATGGTTGGGTCACAACATGAGGAACTGTAATTAAAGGGCCAGAAGGTTGAGAACCACTGAGCGGCATTTATAGAGAATGGCAAGCCATTTGTTTTGCTGGATAATATTGTGGGTTAAATAGAGCTGTAGGAAATTACTGTGAAATTGTAGGTTGGGACCATTGCATTAGTAATACATCCAGAGGTGTGCTGATTCTGGCAGTTGTGTGTAGAATGTGATATATGAAAATGGATAGTATTCTTTGATTCACTAACTCTTTGTCTTCCAGCATGCACTTTCTGGACATGCCAAAGTGAAGCCCTTTGACCCCAAGATTACCTGTCAACAGGAATGTCTCATCACAACTTTTCAGGATGTCTACTTTGTATCTGAAAGCTTTGAAGATGCAAAGGAGAAGATGAGGTAAAGTATATCTTCCTCATGCCTTCATTTCCCCCGCAACACATAGGTCCATTAGTAACCAATCAGAAGTCAGCAACTGGATAATTAGAAGCCTACTAGGAGCCTTCTGCTTATAAACACTTCCCTTTTGCAACAAATATTTAGAGTATGTCCTTTACAATGATAATTGTAAATTATGAGTCAGATACATCAAGAAATTGGTTTCTTCCCATTTCTTCCAATCAGAGAGTTTATAATTTAGTAGGGGAAAAACTATACACAAATTATATATAAGGACAAAGAAAGCCTTATAAGTCATATGTATGAAACATTGTTCTGCCTTTTATTCAGGAGCAATTCATTACAGCTGGGGGAAAAGAGAAAGCTAATGGCATTTTAGAAAATACATGAAGGATAGACAGGATTTAGATATGTCAAGTTTTAGGCTACGGGGCAGCATTATAAAAAAGGCAAAAGGTGGAAAAACATCAAAGCTACGCTTTAACTATTAACCAGCTAAGTGTGTTGTTTAAAAAAAAAAAGAAAGAAAAGATCATATTGCCGGCAGAGAAACTGCTTAGATTCTTGCAATGCTTCAAGTGGAAATAAAAGCCTGAAGTAAGATAGAGGTTGTAGGAAAGGAAAGGACTGTAGAGGCAGAAACAGCAAAACAATTTGGTGGAAGGGGTCATGAGATCATATTGTGACAATGGAGACAGATAGAGGTTGAAGACATGCTCCTTGTCTTTTAGGGATTTCCTTATAGTTGGGGATTGAAGCCATGCACAGAGGGCTTCCTCTAACACAGGTGGCACCTTTGCACAACTAGAAGAGGGGTCCCCTCTGGGTAGACCAGGTGGATTGCAAACTGGATTTCATCTTCCGCTCGTGTATAATTGTTCTGAGCTGTACAAGTATCCCTAGGGATCTGAGCATGGTTGTTCCTGGGAGTGCCAAACGAGAGGTTCAAATTTTGGCTTGATAAAGAAGGCGGAGCTTTCATGTTTGAAGAAAGGGTAGAATTTAGTATAATTGAGTGGACTTACTATGTGGCCAGTGTTATTGTTTACAGATAAAGCTACTGTAGATGGTCTCCTTACACTGGTTAAGAGATGTGTGAAGTAATACATTGTTAGTGAAGCCATCCACAGGATCTTTCCCTAGTAATGCAGGGTAGCTGTGTCCCTGATGACTTCAGGTTTTCTCCCTGGGTGGGATTAAGGGTGCCTCTGCACAGGCAGTGTAGGGAAGTAGGTCAGATTGGTTGCATGAATGTCTAGATTTGTCTTTTGCCTAGTGTGTGAAATAGGTTTGCTGTTATTTAGTTTTCACTGTTTCTCCCCTAGAAATTAATTGCCTTTTATTTGTGTTCTTAAATAGAGAATTTACCGAAACAATTAAGCGCCCATTTGGAGTGAAGTATAATCCATATACACAAAGTATTCAGATCTTGAAAGACACCAAGAGCCTAACCAGCGTCATGAATGAGCTGCAGCATGATCTTGGTGTTGTCAGTGACGCCCTTGCTAAGGTCAGCCGGCCGCCGAGCATCTGACAGTTGCCAGTCCTAATCCTGAGAGCGCATCTGAGCATCAATTCACAAGCCTGGGGGCCAACTCTTGCTTTTCTTAAAGATTTGGTCATGGAGGGATAGCAGCCAAACAATATTTTCTACTCCCATTCCTTAATGGCCCATTAGTCTTTGAAAATTTGTACTTGGATATGCTAGCCACCACCTGTTTTTGTTTTTGGTGTCAGTTTTAGTGAAATATTATTCACATATCATACAATCCATGACTACCTGTTGTTTTTATAGAGAAGTTGTTTGACCCAATAGATATATCTAGTCCCAGCCTTCTATTTTTCCCAATCTTTCTTGAGTAAAATGACTTTTATGAGCATTTAAAATACCTTCATAGGATTGTCAACAATAAAAAACAATACCTTTATAGGTATTATGGAGCTGGTCCATGTAGTTACCTAAATCGTCTTATTTCTAAGCTATCTTATGTATCACTGAATTTGTGCCAAGCTCAATCACATTCAAACCCCTGATTTTAATAGGAGACCAGCTGCTAGCATGCACAACAGTTTAGAGGGCTTTGCACATGAAGCATACCCAATAAAGAGCAAGCTGTCTAGCTTCAAGGGTACATTCTTGTAGGGATAGGAGTAGCTAAGTCTGGAAAGGTCAACTGGGGTATAATCTTAAGACCAGGCTAAGAATTTGGGGCTTTTATTTTGTAGGCACTAGGGAGCCCCTTCCCAAATGACAATTCTCTTTAAAACTTTCTTTTCAATGGCATTGCATGACACTGGTTTTATTTTAGATGATCTGTCCCACTCATGGGGCCAAGGGAACTTGGTGGGGGTGCTACTTGCAAGGCCCGTACTCAGACATGTAGTCCCAGTATTGTGGCGGATTGTCCTTGGGTTAGCAGAAGACAGAGTTGGGAAAGGTAATTCATATTTTTACATTGCTTATAAATTTTAATAGCTGATTAACTATTAAATATATTTTTGATATTAAATTGATCTAGGCTAATCTAAAATCATTTAAAATATTCATTAGCTAGTTTATAGTTAGTTGTTTGATTGCAAGGACATCTATTATAAGCAAACCATGATAGATGGCAAATAACAGCAAATTATGCATAGTGTATCTATTTTTTAAAGTGTTTTTATTGATTTAGGGAAAGAGGAAGAGAGAGGGAGAGAAACATTGATGTGAGAGAGAAACTTCAATCTGCTGCTTCCTGCACACTCCTTATTGGGGTTCAAGCCCACAACTTGGGCATGTGCCCAGACTGGGAGTAGAACCGGCGACCTGTTGGTACATGAAACTATGCTCAACCCACCTGCCGGGGCTGTATCTGGTTATTTTCATACCACTTTGATTATGGTGAAGAATCATAGTTATTGAATTGTAAAATGATAGTATTTAAAATCACTCTATGACTAAAGCACACAAATAAATATTTAAAGGTACAACCATTATAATTCACAACTTCAGAATAATGGAAATATTTAAGGATAGATTTCAATTCTTCTAACCTCTGGATTTGTGATATTTGGTAAATCAGGAATCCTGAGAGTCTTAGAGTTTTCATGCACTTAAAATATATATCTTGAAAGCATCTAGGAAGAGAATTGAACCAAAAGTTTGGTTCATAATTCTTTTGTTTCCTCTGCCCTGTTGCTCTTGCTTGAAAGGCCGCCAGTGGAGAGCGGTTGGCCCCAGTTATGCGCAAGCATGTGCTCTGGTGCTGCAGCCTGAACCCCGGCACCATGCGCAGGCGCAGTGGTGGTTCATGATTCTTAACCAGTGGGTTGTTACTCAGACATTATGGTATGCATTTTCCTGACTTTTTGAAGAAGCTCCAAAAGCTGGTCGTTAGAGTGCCTACATTTTTAATCTGCCTACTCTGTCATTTGGAATTGTACAGTAGTAATGCTCTACCAAAATATACAGAATTAGAGTTAACTTTTAATTTGGCTTCCAAATGGAAAAAAAAAAATCCTGGAACTTTTTAAAGACATATAATAGAGTGCATATATTTAATTTCTAGGAAATATATGAAGATACTGAGGTCTATTTCAGTGTAGTCTTTGTTTTACTATGTAATATATATTTATGATTTGCAAGTTTGTTATTCAACTGGATAATAAATGGATACAAAATTCATGTTCTCAGCAAGCATTTATTTTTTGGTCAAACATGTTAACTCATTTAAATATATTAGCAATTGTATTAGTTTAAGAAATCTATCACATCCTTATATATTTTTTAAAAGCCCATGAATATCCTATATAATAAAGCCCAGTGACCATAATGGCAGAACGACCAGAATGACCGCTTGACCAGTCACTATGAGGTGCACTGACCACTTCTTGGTCCCTTTCACTGTCCAGCAGGCTCCCATCGCCCAATGGCGGATGGGGACCGGGGTTGGGTGGCCGAGGATGCGGGCGGCGCCAGGCCAAGGCCCCCATCCTGCCGGTTGCCCCACACACAGAGGGCGACCCGTGGCGGGGGTGGGGCCAGCAAGGGGGCAGGACCGGCTGACCTCTCGGTCCCTCCCCCGGCTGTCAGGCTCCCATCACCCGATGGTGAACGGGCTGTGCCTTGCTTCTTTATTTTCTTGCTCCTCCTTCCCCACTCTAGGATGCCTCTGGCTCCTGCAGGGTTTGGGAATGGTGGTGAAAAGGAGAGGTAAGGAGTAGACATTTTTTTTTTTGTCTGATACTGTTGTGAGTTGGCATCAGTGCTTTGTACACTTGGTAAGTATTTAGTGCTGACCCATTCTCTGTGGGAGTTTTGGAAGCCTTATTTCTTGGAAATCTCTTGATGTGGGTAAATGTACCTCTCTGTCTGGGCTGTTGAACTCTTCTCCCTGAGCCTCTAAGAATCTAGTGGTCAGCTATCTTGGAGTGTCACTCCAGCCCTCCAGAATCCCCTGGGATGGGGTCTAAGACTATTGTTCATGCATGGAAAACACTCACATGGCAGATACTCAGGCATTCTTTGTCATGAAAAACTGGACATGAAAGACCTCTCCAAAGCATCAATGTCTCTTTGCTCAACTATCAGATCAGTTGTCTGACCATCCACCTTGAATTTCTCAGCACAAATTGCACAGCAGCCTGTTTTGGGTGCCAGTCTGGAGGGATACAGACCAAGCTCTCTAAGTAGCCCTGCTGAGGCCTGCCTTTCTCTAGACATGAGATGAGTGTGGGCTCAGAGCACATTGACAACTATTGCCACCTATTCTACCAGAATTCCTTCTTATCCTCTCCAACTCTTTCATAGACTGGATGTCATGCACTGGTTTCTAAACACCTCCTTCACAAGTTATGTGTTGGTAGTCTTGTACCTCACTTTATAATGTGGAAGTAATTAGCAATTATTGACTTGGGGGTTCAGCCAAAACGGAGACAAGAAGGGGGTCCTATTACACATGCTTGAAAGGAATTGTCAGAACAAAAAAGGCCAATCATATAAAACAATCAGCAAACATGGTATAGTTTTTGCACATCAAGTTCCCCTGAGAACAAAGAGCTGCTTTGCCTCTCTATAAAATATTTTTAAAAAATACTTTAAGGGTGAGCACACAATAGAGTATACAGATGTTATATTATAAAGTCGTACACCTGAAATATATGTTATTATCCAAAGTTACCCCAATAAATTTAAGAAAAAAATACTTTAAACTGCAAGAATAACTTGTAGTTTAAAATATTAATCAGTTGCCTCCTGTACACCCCCTACTGAGGATCAAGCCCGCAACCCAGGCCTGTGCCCCTGACCAGAATTGAACCAGGACCCTTCAGTACACAGGCCGATGCTCCCTCTATCCATTGAGCCAAACTGGCTAGGGCATAACTTGCAGTTTAAGTCTTTGTGCACAGCTCTGATTATTTTCTTGTGATAAATTATCAGATGTGGAATTACTGGGTAAATATCTATCTTCATATTCCTAATATGCATTGCCAGATTTCCTTCAGGAAATTTGTGCTTATTTAGCTTCCACCAAAAGTGTATGAGGATGTCTGATAAAAGCAATTTTATGTGAAAATCTTTGTTGGACGAAAATTACCCAGTATTGATGATCAGAATCAGGGCAGGACCATGCTCAGAGCACTGAGAGTCAGAAGGCTGCCCCAGGAGGAGTCCCCAAACCAGGCTCCTCATTGTAAATTCCGGATACCTACCAGGCACTGAGGTCGACACCAGCCCAGCGATATAAGACACTACCCTCATCTACCCTCCCTTAAATTTTGCAAATGCGCCCCAAAGCAGGCCCAACGAGTTCCGCCTAAGACCCTGAGGCAGGACTCTTCCCACCACTTCCCAGGCTCACTTCCTTCCCCATCAAATGGTGATACCATGTTAGACCCTCTGGGCTGTCCTGGGACTCCAAGGGGATAAAAATGTGAAGGAGTGTGGTGCAATCTACAGAATTATTACTAAAAATAAAGGCAAAGGCTTGGCTGGTTTGGCTCAGTGGATAGAGCGTCGAGGTCCGCCTGTGGACTGAAGGGTCCCAGGTTCGATTCCGGTCAAGGGCACATGCCTGGGTTGTGGGCTCGATCCTCAGTAGGGGGCGTGTAGGAGGCAGCTGATCAATGATTCTCATCATTGGTGTTTCTCTCTCTTCCCTCCTCTCTGAAATCAATAAAAAAGAAAATATATTATATATATATATAATATATATATGTAAAGGCAAAGAGAGACCCTGCAAAACTGGAGGCCGAGGGCGGAGACGCTCATAGCGCGCGGCCCGGCCACAGCGCGCGGCCGGGCCACCTGGAGGCAGCTTGGGAGGCTGTTGTTAGGCCTGTTGTTAGGCTCCCGCGCGCCCCGGATTCCCCGCGGCAAGGTGCAGCCCGCCGGCCCCGCCCCCGCCTCCTCCCCCGCACCGCCCCCGCCCCCTCTGGCCCCGCCCCCCGCGCCGGCCCCGCCCCGCCCCCTCCGGCCCCGCGCCGGTCCCGCCCGGAAGCGTCGGTGGAGCGGACCCGCATGGAGCTCGAGCCCAGCTCCTCGGATGCCACCTCCGCTCCCGCCGCGCTCTTCGCCTGGGTGCGTGACTCCGCCCCCGCGCCGGGGCGGCTGGGACTGAGGGGCGCGCGGAGGCGGGGAGCTCCCGGGCTCCGCGTGGGCGGTCCGGGGCTGGGCGGCGGAGATTCGAGCCCGGCGCTGCCTCGGTTGGAGGATCCTGGGCCGGGGGCGGAAGAGGAGAGGACGGAGGGAAGGGTCTTCGCGGCGTGACTGAGGGGGCCTGCTGGCCGGTGGGGTCGGACCGGAGGGGCTGCGGCTCAGTGGGAAGGACCCGCCCCAGGGCAGAGCGTCTGGTTCTGCCTGAGCTCCGGGACAGACGGCGGGGATG